GTGTATGCCAATAATCTAAACATGAGCCAAAGGATATTAAAACCAAAAATATCTTTAGATATCTGAGTGATCTCCATGATGCAGTCAACCCCTATTGGCAGTTCCCAAGATCAATATCCATCAGCACAACCACGACTGTTTATTTAACTGGCGCAGCATCCAGGATTACCTGTCAACCTTGTCTGGTCTTTTTCTGTTGCCTTTTCTTTTCTGCTTTAAAATGATTAATCTGTTAACAAATAAATAAATACAAAATAATAAAATACCCAAAATATGAAGATAAATGGCAAGGTTCCAAAACTGAGTGTTTAACTCTCGACATTCTTATTGCTATCACCTGAGACAAATGACAACTAGGAAATATTTGCAGTTCAGCCTTAAAGGTTGTACACTTGTATATTTTAGGAAATGTCACTTAATTTTTTAAAATTAGTTTACTATACATTTTAAGAACTTAATCAAATCGATTCAGGTCTCTGTGAACTGAAATTGACTAAGGGATGAGCTTCACTACTCGACGCTTATCTGTGACACTAACTATAACCCCTTCACCAGTGTTTCCCAATCACTGTGCCGCGGCACATAGGTGTGCCGTGAGAAATGATCAGGTGTGCTGTGGAAGATTATCTGGTTCCACCTGATTAGTACCCTAAGCGACCGGCATGAGTAACAGGCAGAGCATTCTCTTCCACTAGAGGGCAGTACAACTACCTGCTCTAATTAAATGGGTAGCCAACTGCCAGTAAAACAGAAGAAGACAAAGAAGAAACTACATAATAGTCATGCTGTGAGTGAGACAACGCAGCGCGTAAAAGCAATAGACAAATGTTTGAAAAAGTAGTTAATCTGACCTGGATCATGGAGAAAATCCAGACCCAGATGAAGGCCCTAGCATGAGTAGTGGTCAGAAGAAAGCAAAAAGGGTATACCGGGGGCAAACCGAGCCAAGTCCCTTATTCCTGCTCTGCTTTTTGTTACATTTTTGTTTGGTGGGGTGCAGTGTGATTTTTCTCATTTGAAATATATGCCGTGGCTCCAAAAGGTTGGGAAACACTGTGTGTAGGGCAGTGTTTCCCTACACAGTGTAGGGCACGGGCAGTGTGTAGAACTAGGATTTCTAGGAACTAGGATTTCCTCCGAGCATTAAAATTCATATGGGCAATAATGACCCCTGGTTACGTCAAACGGAGGTCATTAAAATTAATATTGACTCTGTGTGCAACCAACGGTGTTGCCAAAACAATGTCAGACTCTGTAGTTTTCTCTGGTCCCCTCCCCAGTGGGCCCAGGAGTGACATGCTTAGCCACACATTCTCCTTTAAATGAAATTGCTGGCTGTCTGAGTGATGTGGGCTTTACACATAATTGGGCAACCTTCTGGCAGAAACCTGGTCTTGATGGGAGAGACGGCATCCATCCCACTTTGGATGGAGCAGCAGTTTGTATCATATCCATCTAATAGACTCCAATTTGTTCATGTAAATGGAGAGTCCTCTTCACACACTAAGGTTAATTATGGAGTTCCACATGGTTCTGTGTTAGGACCAATTCTGTTTACATTATACATGCTTCCAGTATCATTAGAAGACATAGCATACATTTTCACTGCTATGCAGATGACACCCAACTCTATCTATCCATGAAGCCAGATAACACACACCAATTAGTTAAACTGTAGGAATGTCTTAAAGACATAAAGACCTGGTTCACCTCTAATTTTCTGCTTCTAAATTCAGATAAAACTGAGGTTATTGTACTCGGCCCTGAAAATCTTAGAAATACAGTTTCTAACCAGATTCTTACACTGGATGGCATTACCTTGGCCTCCAGTAACAGAAGGAACCTTGGTCTAATTTTTGACCAGGATATGTCATTCAATGCACATATTAAACAAATATGGAAGAAAGCAGTCACTTTCTTCCATTTGGGCAATATCTCCAAAATTAGAAACATCCTGTCTCAGAGTGATAATGAAAAACTAGTTCATGCATTTATTACTTACAGGCTGGACTACCGTAATTTGTTATTATCAGGATGTCCTAAAAACTCCCTGAAAAGTCTTCAGTTGATCCGAAATGTTCAGCAAGAGTATTGACAGGGACTAGAAAGAGACAGCATATTTCTCCTATGTTGGCTTCCTTTCATTGACTCTCTGTTAAATACAGAACTGAATTTAAAGCCTTGCTCATCACATACAAGGTCTTGAATAATCAAGTCCAATCTCATCTTGATCACCTTATAGTACTGTATCACCCCATTACTACTTTTAATATTAGGCATAAAACTTTACTTCATGATAAAGCATATAGTTAGGGCTGGATCAGGTGACCCTGAATCCTCCCTTAGTTATGCTGCAATAGGTTTAGGCTGATAGGGGATTTCTATTATGGATTGAGTATTTCTTCTTTAGTCACCTTTTCCACTATGTGTTTATACACCTCTCTGCATTTAATTATTTCTGGCTGCTTTCCATGGGATGTGTTTGTCCTCTCCATATCTACTCATCCCCAACCGGTTGGGCCAGAAGGCCGCCCTTCCCTGAGCCCGATTCTGCTGTAGGTTTCTTCATATTAAAATTGAGTTTTTCCTTCCCACTGTCACTAACACGCTTGCTCATTGGGGGCCATATGATTGTTGGGGTTTTCTTTGTGTTATTGAGGGTCTTTACCTTTACAAAATAAAGTGTCTTTAGGTAACTGTTTTTTGGGATTTGGCATTATATAAATAAGATTGAAATGAGCTGAAATTGGACTAACTTTGAAATAGTGCACATACACAGGGTAAGAAAGCTTTTAAAGAAGGTGATCCTTGAATCTGATATTTCTACAGCAGTGTATGGAGCCATGGCCTTCATCCAGACTGAACAAGGGTACTGCTGCTGGCAGGAAAACTAGGTCAAGAATGGACCAGGTCCTTTAACAGTATGGACCTCCCTCAAAACATCTAGCAGTTTAGGTACTGTATGTGCATAAATAGAGCTTTCCCGTTGCTCTGTCTCTCTCTGATTCAGATATCTATGTGCACAAATGGTTTTCACATATATACGGATAAAATGTCTCATTAAGCTCCAAACAATCCGCTGATTAACTTATTAGTAAATTATCACACAAACATAGGTTAAGATTTACTGTGATTGTCTATATTATCTATCACTGTAATAACAAGCTCTATTACCTTGTTTTGTAATAGGTAATAAAAATAAGAAAATATATCATTTTAAAAATCTAAGTGTTTTAGGTACCTGCTTTTAAATGTAGTTGGTGGTTTTCCAAAAGCTCCAGCCCCTGCATAAAAACAGATGGAAGTAATGTCCACAAGGTTCAGGTCCAGCTGGAAGTGTTAACTTACCAGTAAACAAAGAAAAATTGTTCCGTCTTTTCTGTTTAGTTAACTCTTTGCTAACTCTGTTGTTCTTCTCTTTTCCATCCAGAGTTTACAGGAAGGTCAATGAGATTCTTTAAAATAGGGTTGATAGATATATATCGATAGATCTGCAATCACAAGCACTGCCTGTAGTATCCGCAATTTCTCAGAGAAGTCCCAGTTTCATCACTGTAGGTAACTGCTGGTGTCAAAGTACATGTTTCTACAATCTGAAAGAGAGCATAAATTCAACCTGCATGGTCAAGCATTACAGTTAGATTACACTGTCAAGACCAGACATTTGGTATTATCTTCTCTGAATATTGTTTGGCCACGGGAATAGTAGATACACTTGGCAGTGACCAAAGTTTTTAGTGGAATAATTAATTTCATCCATTAAAAATGGAGATGAAATGTTGTAGTTTATGGCTGTTTTCCTCAGGGAAAGGCTGGCTTGCAGTTAATGAATCAACTATATTTTTGCATCATAGGAAAATGTGCTTGGAGATAATTTAAGAGCCATCTGTGTGAAAGTAACATTTGAACTGGAAGTGATCCATTCAACAGGACCTATGAGCACTAGAGCACCCACCAAGACTCAGCTCAAAAAGATGAATCAGAGGTGAATGAATTATTGAGTCAAAACCCAGATTAACGTTGCTCTGAAAGATTTGAACAGGCAGTGCACACAAGAGAAAACCTCATAATTAAGACCTCATTAAGAGATAAAAACAGAATTACTGAAAATGTCAGCAGACATCACATTATGATAACAGACATTGTGGTATTTGCATCTGAATGTTTCGTGACATTATAAAATGTCGTATAGTGGCATCCCTTCAGCCAGTTGTCAGATCAGACTGGATTTCCTCTACTGAACTGTTCTGAGAAATCATAATATTCACACGTTTTGCTTGTTTAATGTTGATGTAAATGTGGTCATTGTGAGTCAGCATCCTCCACCCATAATCCCCTTTCTGTTGGGCTGTTTGTCTACTTGCTCATACATTTTTAATGGAGCTAACCAAATACACATGGAAACGCACACAATAAAAATCTGGCGGTTGTTGCAAATGGCAGCAGATGTACTTGTATGTCTACACACACACACACACACACACACACACACACACACACACACACGTTTGTGTTCACACATGAATTCTGAAAGGCCAGATGGTTC